AGGAGACCGCATTTTGTAGATCTGCAATGAAAGGTCCAGACAGTGCATTTGTGGGCCTAACAGTCCAGGTCTGGTACCAGACTCTCTAGAACCACTCTGGAGTTCCTGGGAAAACAATTTTACACGTGCGATTTCCCCGACAGGTTTTAATCCTAATCAGCAACTACTTAACTCTCTGCCTGAACCCATATTTAGCACAATATTAATAATTCTATTAATTTATCCATAAGTATGAAATATAATAGTCAGTGATAAGTGCAATGCTGCCTGGATGTCCTTGTTCATACATCAGACTCTCAAATTGTCATTTATAATACTTGCTTTTATTTGTCACCTCTGTACTGTGGCTACCAAACATATTTATCTGACTCTTCACCTTACTCACCAATACATCTATTTCTGCCTCGGTTAAACTGCTTTTTCGCTCTCTGTGCTGCGGCTGCCATTGGTAACCATATAAAACAATGATCAGATGGCTCATTTAAATACACAAGGACATTTATGCTGTGCCTTTGACAGGACCATTTACAACTGAATGTGGGTGTGAAAAGGCCTCAAAAAGAGGTGAAGTCAAGTGCGCAAACTCTGAGCTACAGCTGTGATTTACGAAGGAAAATAGCCTAGATTTCACATCATTTTTTTTTTTTACATGCAGGCCATTTTTGTATTTTTGGCAAATGTAGACTTTTAGTTCTAAGCAATGTTTTATAAATGAGACCCCGTGGCTGGATATAATCCACAAGTTTTCTAAAAATTACTTTTTAACAACTGACATTGAGTGACTTTGACTGCACTGTATTGTGACTAGGGGTGTGAGAAAAAATCGTTTTGGCGATGTATCGTGATTTTTGGCTGCCCGATATAATATCGACCTTTCAGTTCCTAGTATCGATTTTTTTAAAACAAAAAATATTTTATCTAAAACAATGAGGGAAATTGGGCCACCTGTACACCGCTACACTGGCAGATAGTGCTGCAGAGCTATTTTGCTGTTTGGCACAACGCCGTTTCTGTAGTTGAGGCAGTCACAGCGGAAGATGGGACTGACTCAAACGCCAAACATCATGGATACCAAAAAAAGTAAATTATCAATATCTTGTGATGAACATATACAGCACCTGCTTTTTTATCTCTAGATTTAATTTGACAGCAGGGAAAAATATCGCAATATATAGTGATATATTATTATCGTGATTATATTGTATCGCGACCCAAGTATTGTGACATGTATCGTATCGCAACACCCATGCCAATACTCACCCCTAATTGTGACTATGTTTGGTGATAGTGTGAATAAATTTGATAAATATACCCAAGAGCCTCGTAAAAAAGAAGAAAAAAGTATTGATCATACTGGAACTGGTCAATAAGTCCTTAACAAATTAGATCAATGACAGCAGTTGATGTTTGTCAGAAATCACGTGTGAAAAAGCGCAGAAAAAGGTAAATATGTAAAAAGGGATAAAACATGAGTAAAGCTCAAAATAAAAAGGGATAAAACATGAGTAAAGCTCATAATAAAATATAAATGTTGTATTCTAGTAAAGCAGAATCTAAAGCTGTGGACGCTGGTAAGTTGGTGAGTGAGTAAGTACTGACAGCAGAAAGCGAAGGCATACAACAATGTTTACGTCTCTCATTGGACCCAGTGCAGCAACTCATTTCACTCTCAAATAGGACTAAGTAAACACTTCCAGTAAGTACGTTTAACTCATACTGGGGTTTTTTTCAACATGAACTTATGGGTTTTGCAGCTTTTTTATAAGCACTGTATTTGACAAGTTCCTTTTAACAAATTTATATTAGTGAATGGATTTAATTAGATCCATTCACAAAGTCCCACAACAGTATATCAAATTCTACGTGTTTATAATATTTTTTGAATGTATATGCTAGCAGTTAAATCCGTAACTTAAAAGTATCATACCTGAGAAGGCATCATTGTAATCAGAGTATACATGTATTAGACTAAAAAAAAAAAAAAAAAAAAGATGTGATTTGTTCAAGTTATTAGCACTGGACACAATGTCACATTCTGGAAGGCACACTCCTTCTGAAGCACTGGGGTTAAACACCCCTCACAGCTTGATCGTTGGAATACAATGGGAGCTCTCAGCAGACTCCCAACATATGGAATAAATAATGGACCTCATTACAAACATCCAGCGTTTGCCTGGAGTCTCACACACGGTCCACAACGCTTTTTTCCAAGCCTGAACTACCGGACCCAACAGGTTAGGACAGCAAAACTTTACAGATGGTAATTTTAAACTTTTTACAAGCAAACAAAATATTTAATGTAAATAAGAAGAAACAATACGAGGTTGCCTAATTTTAATGATTTATGGCAAATAAAATGTTTGACTATTTAACTAAAAGAACAAAAAGCCCCCATAAATTAACTAAAAGAAAAAAAGCCTGCAATTATTCTCCAATGTTTACAGATACATTAGTGACTTGCTGTTTGAGGCACAAGGCCACCAGCCATGCCTCTGAAACATTCATTTAGAACTTCCTCTTCAATCCCACGGCCCTTAATATTCCACAATAAAACAAGCACAAGGTCAGCCCTTGGCCTGTGCCAACGTATGACGCAGTATCTGACTACTGCCATGAGAACGAATAAAACATAAAGCAAAGGACATCTGTTTGCAGAGCAGACAGAAACTAAGAAATAAGCTGCTGCTAATGGTATCTAATTTAATCAAACTTTTGTTAGCACTGCCTCAAAGTTCAGCTCATTCATTGACAGTTGCAACTTTCTTAGGGATAATTTTTCAAAAGTAACATGAATAAATTATTTTTTATCAAAGAAGTAAGTTTTATTGATTCAAAGTGTGGTGGTGGATAATGTTAACTCATCTAATTAATAAAAAAAGCACATTAGTGTGTTTTACCCCTTTTATAATTCACAGTTCAAAGCATCTCTACTAAAAGTAATTTATTTTGATTATTTAGTATATGTGATGAATGGTGGAGGTTTGTGCAGTTCAACATAAATGGAACATATTTGGATCACGAGCTTCTCTCCATTTAACAAATTTTACTTTTTAAGTGAGCGACTTGGGCTCATTTAACAAGATGATTATCTAACTAAAAGGATATTCTCATGTTAAATAACTGAAAAGCAACAAAGTTTTTCAGTGACAACATTCTGTTATTGGTTTGAGGTTTGTGTCAACTAACAGGATTCAAAGCTAGTTAGGATGCAAACACAGCCCTAACAGCTCATTTACAAAGGTGTGACATGGAAACTTGAGACTGGCACTGCATAAGACACTGGAATTTATCACGAATAGGAAACATTAAATCTTGGCTTTATGTTTTGTAAGTACTCAACATTAGCAGAGTGACATTAGCAGACTTTGTTTAAGAGGGACTACAGCAAACAACAATAACATGCAACACTCCTGGTTTCAACTTTAATGAAGTATTTTATTTGGATTTTCTGTGATACACTAGTAGGAAATAATGCATAATGTTGCTTTTCAAAAAAACTGCCCAAAATTTGTACTTCAAGCTGTAGGTAAACAGCTGTTCCAAACGTGGCATTTCCGAATTCTCCCGAGTGGTGCCCGACTTTACACGAATGAATAAATTTAATGTGATTGATGGATTATCAAGGGGGCGGGAATGTTGTGGTGGAAGGTTCGCAAGCAATTTGGTTGTGGCCGGTTTGTCAAAAGCATCTTGCTAACCAGTTAGCAGCTTAGAGCTAGTAGGTTCCCAATAGGAAATGTCGTTAGGACCAAGTAGTACTTAGCAACGACATTTAGTGTGGATGAGTCTCCTTAGTCATACATTTTTTATAGGAACGTGGGGACGAAGTTGTGGAAGAGGACGCCAGGGCGGCAGAAGCTTGGTTTTGTGTAGATAGCTTACAGTCGTACATGTTTGAGCCCTTGCCTTGTAATGCTGCCAGTTCTGTAAGATCTACGCCTGCCGAAGACAGAGGCGTCCATCCCCGTGAACACTTGGGCGTAACTTAATGGCAAAATAAATAATTCTTATTTCTTATTTGAACTGTAGCGTATATTAGCTGCAAAATATGTATCAAGATGCTATGATGAAAAAATGTTATTGACAGATGAGCGTTGATATATGATTGGCCCAATTTAGGTGTTCAACCTGACGTATAATTAACTGGCCTGCATAAGATAACGGAAAAAATAAACTGATTTTAAGACAGCATTTTCTTTTTTTTAAATAGAAATTTTCTTACTTTTGGGACAATATGTTCTGATAAAGAGTACATTTATATACATGGTTAAGCCAGAATGATTTGACATTTAAATATGACTTCCCTACAACTTTAACTTGGAACCCTTTAGAGAAACAGCAAAATCCATAACTGTTAGAACTAATTTAATCAGCAAAGATAGTCTATGTATAATTTAAATCTAAGTTTAAATACAGCAGCTGTATGAAGGTTAAAAAAAGAACCAGGTAGCATCCTGCCATGGGCATGGTTCCTATAGCCTAAAGAGATGTTTCAATAGCCAATATTGAAAAGTTACAAAACATCAAAACCTATTTTAGAATCTATGATACGACCTGGAAACTGATGCTCATGCATGCTCTCAGCAAAGAGAAAAAGCCAATAATTTCAGTGTACAGATGTGCAAAGAAGACCAATCCCAGATGCATGCCGCACTTTTCAGATTTGTATACCTATGGCATTTGGGGAAACATGTATCATATTTCTGCTTTGGTTTAGTTTCCATATTTATAAGTTTGGGTTTATGACAACAGCAGGATAGAGACTTCTGCGACAGGATTCACATATGCTCTTCAACCCACACATTTATTGCATAAGAAAAATGACAAAGAGATGGACTTCTGCTTCATAACATATAGTGCAGACATGCCACAAAGGTCAAACGAGACCATCAAAAAGGAAGTAGTTCACATGCAAACTTAAGCCCCAATATACTCCACCCACTATTACAAAAAATAAATAAATAAATAAAAATACACCCACCTCTTTCCCCTTCACTCACCTGACAACATTGGGGTGCTCAAAGGCCTCCAGTTGCCTCAGTACCGCCACCTCCCGGATAGTTGAGAGAGGCATCCCTTCTTCCTCTGTCTGGACACGAACTCTTTTTAGGGCTACAAAGCGTCCCCCGTTCTTCAAATCCCTTGCCTTGTACACTTTCCCATACGCACCCTCTCCAATCTCAGCCACAGGCTCGTATTGAGTACCAATACTTTCTTTGTCCATTTTTGCAGATTTTTTTTTTTTTTTTCCCTTGTCTCTTGTTGAAAATGTTGCGGGGAATCCCGGCGAGGGTGACGAGCTTCTTCACAAAGGCATACTCACAGAATATAGTTGGCACATGCAATGCCTAGACGACAGAGACACACAGATGGAGGAAGAAACCATCTCTGTCACATTTGATGAAATCAAGCTCCAGGTGCGCTTTAACAGGACTGTCATCATGTTTTTATTCGGACTATCATAAAAAAAGGCGACCCTCTGCTGCGTTTCCCAGCTTCCACTCCTCCTCCTCCTGTTACGCATTACAACTCATGTCCTCCTACTAACAGAAAATAATATAAAATAAAGAAAAAAGTCTAAATCACCCCCATTTAACTCCAACATTAGGATAATTTGCGTTAAATCGACTGTCTCGCGCGCTTATCAATTAACAGAAGTTGCAGAAGTTGAGTTCACATGAGCGGACTTTAAAAAAACAGCTTAAAACATAAGAAACAAGGAAAAAGAGAATAAATGCAACACATATAACTTTTCCAGGTTTAGAAACGGATAACATTGTAACTGTTTAATAGCCGCCTGTTGAAGTTTCTGTTTGAGCAGTGCCCAAAACTGTGAGCACGTGCTGCATTGTTTTAACTTCCCACAGCAACAGTCCATTTAAAACACATTAAAAAAATCTTTTTCATCCCCAAACCACTCTAAATGCATGCCTCAGTGTCTATGCTTAGTTTTAATCACGTTTCTATACGTTTCCCTTGCTTCCTCGAATTTTTTCTAATTTATTTCTGCGCGCACCTTAATATAGCAACCCTGATTAAAAAATGGCCTATAATACAGATTTATAAACATGCATTTATTGATTTGCTCATTGTGCGGTAAAGTATTTATTTTTTTAGCGTGAGAGAGATATAATATGTGTACATTCTGCAGAAATATCCGGAATGATTATTTTATTTATTTATTTATTTTACCTTATTTATGGTTGTCAGTAAAATGTCGTGACGTCGGAATGCCCAATAAAATGCTGAGAAGGCATTCGAGTCTCGCATAAAACTGCTCCATCAAACGCATCCTTGTCCATGCGGGGGCCACACACAGGTAGTTGACGTCGCAGGCTCTAACCCCCCATCCCCTAAACTGCACCAGCCCCAGCAGAGGACTGTGAAACAAGCGAGGGGAGGGCTGGACGAGAAACTTGCGCATACTCTCATTGCAGCTTGAGTGGAAGGAGGTGTGGAGGGAAGGGGTGTGTTAAGTTGCTTGGTGAGTGTACACTGGACCCACGGAGGGGGGGTCATAGGACAAAGGCAAACGCGTGATATAGCCCCTCCAAACCACGCTCATCTCTTGGATTTTCTCCTTTTCTTTCCTCGCGCACATATCTGCGGCCCCTTTGCAACTTTGGCCCCGCGCGCCCGCGTGAGCTCCGTCTTTGGCAGGCTTTCCCACGCCGGCTGAATGTGCCCTGACCCCCTTCAGAGAGGTTTGACACGGAGCGGGACATTTCCGCATTCCTCCATGACTACAAAGGCACACCGCCTCCTTTTTTTTTTTTTGCTCTCCCTCGGCCTCTTCGGTGCTTTGCCATTCACAGTGGCCCCCTTGCTAGGTTTTGGCCCCCCCGTGTCAAAACCGGGAGCACCCCAGGGAGCGGGGGTAGCTGTATTGGATGGACCAGCCACACTATCTGCCTCAAAGCACTGATGATCTCTATTGTTATTATACTAATAATAATTATTATTATTATTAATGAAGGCAATAATGCGCCAACAGCAATGCAGTGTGACAAGGTCGCCTTAAGATGGTCCTTTGGGGTCAGGTTCAAGGCCCCCAACAATAGGGGGGGCAATAGATCTTCTCTGGTGGTCGTGGTGCATGAGTACCCTGATAAAATCATATTTAAAATATAATATTTATGAGTCAATTTTTACCTATATATTCTTTAGTAAATTAGATAATTTCCAGTCCATATAAAATATGTAAACACAGAATTATTTCTTATCAACAATTTTTATTTTTATTTGTCAATCAAGCTTTTACTTATTGTTAAGAATATTTTTTTAAATTCTAATAATTATTAATTCAATTATTATTACCTAATGAATTAGGTTTAAAATATTTGCCTACAATGTATATCTATGCTAATTTTTCTAATTATGTTGTAATATGTAATTGTATAAATCCATGATTCAGGCATAGGGATTTTTAATAGCAATCAGTACAAATGAAGTCAATTTTAAATAAATGGTTTCATCACTAAACATATAAAATAATATCTATATATTGGTTAAAAATCAACCTGCAGTAGGATATTTTAAAAGCACAAACTGTATGGTAATTTTCATTTAGAGGGAAATCTAACAAAAAAGGATCAGAAACCTCAAACAAAAATCTTTTAAATTCTTTTAAGTCTAAAACTTGGATTAACTTTATCTTGTAATAATCTTTTTAATTCACCCAAAGGACAACGATTACTGAATATTTTTATTTTCATTATTATATAACTGCCACAGTGATTATTTTGTCTGAAAACCTAAAGGCATATTTCCACATAGTTTAATTTTAAAATTTAAATGAAAAGCAAGCTTTATGATAGAAACTTGTACAAAATCATTAATCATCTGTGAGTTTATTAGTGAAATATATTGTCTTGAAAACATAATCAAACAAATAAACATAATGAAACAATTGAAATTATCTAAATATTAAGCTTTTCCGTTTTTGAAAACATAAGGAAGATAATGACATGGAAGTTTATGTGGCAAACTCTCGTGCTCAAAGTAAAAAACACCAAAAGGATGCAATAGTGAATAAAATGCAGTTCTTTGGGGGATGGACCTGACAGATTCCATCATTACCAAACCAGCAGCAAACAGGCATACTATAGACATAATTTATTATTATTGAATACATAATTATTACACATATTTAGAAATATCACAGTTCAGAATTATCTGCCTTAATGTAATTTAAAAGACAAAGACAAACAAATGTTCATGGGTAGAAAAGTAGCATTTGAATACCATTAATAATAACAGGTTTATAAATTTAAGCCTTCAGGAAAGTTTCTGCCATGAAATTCCTCATTGTAATATACTTAGATGTAGCAAAAAAGAAAAAAA